GTATCAGAGCACCAATACGAACGCGGTGCAAGATTGCCGGTTCTGAGAAACATTTCCACGAAAAACAGGTCTTTCGCTTAAAAACTGCAGGACTCGTCAGCAGCGCTTCTTGACCTTCGCACTGATGTATTTCTGCCTTAGTGCCGGGGCCTCCATAAAGCAGGGGCGGGTGATTGAGACGCCCCAGGTTTTTGTGGAGTAGCATCAACACGAATAGTTTCCAGGTCACCCGCCAGAGTACAGAGGTAACATGATCCCCCAAACTGGTCGGTTGAGCTCCGCCGCTGCTACGTAACGTAACTCTTTTTCACGCTCTCTCACCTGCTCCCCCCCCTCTCCGCCCCTCTCCCTCCCTCTATTCTTCTATCCTCCCTCCTCCATACGTAAAGGGCGTCGACTGCCGTGAGCCAAGATCAGGGGGCGAACCTACCGCTGTTTCAAGTCCCGGGCTGTTCTTATGATCCTGCGTGCGGCGTCGGTGTACCCACTGACCCCGTGATAGAGGAGGGCAGCCCAGCACACCGCCATCAAACCTACCGGAAAACAAGACATTTTAACATTTTTGTTATAGACAAATGGGTGTTCACGCCGCAGCGGAAAACATCATGTACTCCTTCCCCCTTTGCCTCTCCGGCCGAGGGGCGCACGCATAACCCGCTCTGTCGACCGCTCGCGTCTTCGAGGATCTCGCAGGATATACGAGCGTTGCCGCGACCGCAGAGAATTTATGGCGGAGGTGGTAACTTTTGGTAACCCAATCACAGTAGTGTGGGAGGGAGGGAGAGGGGAGAGGAAGGAGGGAGGGAGAGGGGAGGAAGATGGGAGGGGAGAGGAAGAGATAGAGGAAGTGGTAGGGAAGAGGAGGTGAGGGCAAGGAGAAGAGAGGGGAGTGGAAAGGGAGAGGAGGAAGGACAGGGAGGGGAGAAGAGGAGAGGGGAGGTGGGGAGTGTTGTCACTTGGGAGAGGGGGAGGGGAAAGGGCGTCTTGTCACTGGAAAGAGAATTTCGGGTTTGGCAGTCGAATGCTAGAGACATGAACGAAAATGGGTCAAGAAAGGAAAATGCAGAATAATCAGAAGAGTAGACAGATATATGAGTTATAAAAGAAACAAAAAAAAGTGTGCCAAAAAAACAGATGCAAGAGACCGGAGGCAAGGGGAGAGGTGGGGAGAAGGGAGTAAGGGAGGCAGAGGGGGAGGGTGAACACTGCTATTGATCTTGGCAGTATATAGGCCCATCTCCCAGCTGCGTTGATGAGCGAGTGGGGTGATGTATGTATATGTGTGAACGAGTAGTAATGCGCGCGCGCGTGCGCGTGTGTGAGTGTGTGTGTGAGTGTGTGTATGTGTATGTGTGTGTGTGTGTGTGTGTGTGTGTGTGTGTGTGTGTGTGCGTGTGTGTGTGTGTGTGTGTGTGTGTGTGTATGTGTGTGTGTGTGTGTGTGTGTGTATGTATATGTGTGTGTGTGTGTGTGTGTGTATGTGTGTGTGTGTGTGTGTGTGTGTGTGTGTGTGTGTGTGTGTGTGTGTGTGTGTGTGTGTGTGTGTGCGTGTGTGTGTGCGTGTGTGTGTGCGTGTGTGTGTGTGTGTGCAAACATATGTCTACTACCAGGGAAAAGACGGACTTCTTCAGAGAAGTACATTGTTTTACGTACGCTATCGTGTATGCGTTGTGAATATTTTAAAGTGTGCGTACGCTAGTTTACATAAATCTGTATCTCGATACAACGTGCGTTCTGTTTGAGCTGAATGTTTGAGTAAACGCAATGATTCATCAAAATGTGTAAATTGATGGATGTATTTTCAAAAGTCAGTTTTTAAGACAGTTCATGAGTAAATTCAGTGCTCCCTTCTTCCCGCCTCCCCCTCATCCCTTTCTCTCTCTCTCTCTCTCTCTCTCTCTCTCTCTCTCTCTCTCTCTCTCTCTTACATCTGTACACTTATCCATTTATCCATCCACCCATCCATCCATCTATTCCTAAATCAATCCGTTCATCTATCCATCTCCCCATCCGTCTATCTATCTATGTATATAGCTTTCTATCTATCCTTCTATATATATTTCTGCCTGTTTATCTGCGTATCTATCTATCTGTCTATCTTTCTATCTTTCTACCTATTTACCTATCTATGTGTCCACCAATCCATCTATCTAACCGACCACCCGTCGATTCAAACACCCACCCCTTCCTCCCTCCCTCCATCCATCCATCCATCTATTCACCCACTCACCCACCTATCCACCCACCCATCCATCCATCCATCCATCCATCAGTCCGCCCATACACTCACCAACCCACACACGCACCCAAACACCCACCCACCCATCTATCTATCTATCTATCTATCTATCTATCTCTCCATCTCTCTCTCTCTCTCTCTCTATCTATCTATCTATCTATCTATATCTATCTATCTATCTAACTATTCATCCACCCACCCACCCACCCATCCATCCATCCATCCATTCATCCATCCGCCCATACACTCACCCACCCATCC